ATGTATTAGATTCATTTTTATACCAATGTTCTAATATAGGTATATTTTGACACTAATCAAACTTTTTCTGAAATGACATGCCAATTTTTTTTTTTTTTTTTTTTTTTTTTTTTTTTTTTTTTCCCGTATTTCGATTCTACGACTCAAATTATGCTAAACTGCCAAATTTTTGTAAAAATCACACAAGTAGTTTTTAAAAAATTAGCTCTCAAAATCTCAGCTCTTCAATGTTAATTGAATTTGGTATATATTTATTAATCTCTTTTTTTTTATTAAACTTAGTTTTGTGTTTCTTTTCTTCCTTTCACATTTCGAAATTTAGATTCATTATAAATACAATTAGCCCATTTTTTATGGTTTATTTTTAAAATTTGTACTTTTAGACAATTTTTTATAAATTTTTCGTAAATAATTTTGAATTATAATCTATAAAAGTTTACCATCATCTTAAAGTAGATGTATTTCTAAGCATACCTGCAAAAAATTAGTTTTTTTTTATTCAAAATTTCAGAAGATATACGTGAATTTATACATATGTTGCTGCGTTTTGAAATTTGGTAAATTTGTTGAAAGCGATAATGTGGTTTAGGCACTTAAAATTATTTGAAAGTAGAAACGAAGTAACTTTTTTTTCCGCTCATGCGCAATGTGAAAAGGGGAAGGAAAATAGGTTGCTATATATGGTAATACAATTTTTATTATGGTAGTACAATAATTGAGACAGATCGTTAATAATCATAATAAAAGAATAAAATAAATATATTTTTGTCTTTTGTTGCTATGGGTTACCAGACTGGCAGCGTTGAGTTGTAGTAGGCAAGTCGCCACACTATATATATTTAGAAGTTCGCCAAGAGAATTATTCTTGCCGAAAACTTGAAAAAATGCACCAAGATAAATTTTTGAATTTCTCAGTAAATTTCGCACCAAATTTTACAAAATTTAATATTTAGGCATAATTTGAGTTGTAGAATCGAAATAATATTGAAAAAAAAATTGGCATGTCATTTCAGAAAAAGTCCGATTTTGTGTCAGAACAACGCTATATTTAAATCTAATATATGTCTTAAATCGCCCTTTCGAGACATGAAAAACGCAATTTGAAATTTGTATTTTGGATTTTGCCTATCTCCCAGCAGAAGTGTTTAGCAAATTCTCTGCTTGACACTCACACCAGAATGGAAGACAACTTTCCCTCACCAATCATTAGGCTGAGGATCGTCAGCAACAATTGCAGCGCAACTACTTCAGCATTGACTTGGACTGTTTCGGACTACATCACGTCATCTCGCATACGAATTGCAATTCTAAGATTTCAACTTTTGTCAGTGCCCTATGATGTCTAAGATTTCCCCTTATAACCTTGCAAATTGCTTAGGATAAACTTCGTGTCATCTAAAAATCTATTATTATGCGCTTTCTGCGGCAATTACCTGCAAGAGCCAGAAAACATCGAGGAATTCGCATCATAATCATGGCATATAGAGGAAGTTGGAGTTGGAGAGGTCTCGTTATTCTGCGTTTGAGAAGCTCGTCATGACTGTACAGTGAAGGACCCAGCTCTGTGAAGCTTTTTCCAAGTACCGTGACTGTGCTCCTATTATCCTGAAGAAATTTGGGACAATAATAGGTAATACCGGATCTGGTCCGAATGTGTGTCAATGTTCAGTGGGAGATGATTTTTAAATTCTATGAGACCCTTCATTTGACATGAGTGCTGGCAGAGGGATGGAAGTAATTGCTCCGACGTTAGTAGAGATGTGGCTATAGCATTGCAAGAAGCGGTATAGTTTGCAAGAAGTGGTTTGGAAATGTGCAATGCAAGGGGAATTGCCTGATATTTAGACATATCAGCGCGGTTTATAAAATTTTACAGAACATCCTGCAATACTATCCATTCGAAATTACGCACCTCAGCCGTTACTTAATGCTGGTTTTCCCTACAATTTCTTGGTCGAATGAAAGTAAGCAATGCATAACCATGGAACCATGGCTTAAATTGCGCCGAAGCCTAGCGAAGCCCTGCTCCTGTATTATTCAGTTTTTGAGATAAAGCAAAATTTTACCTGGCGCACACCGGAGCCATAAGCAAGAAAGCTCCTGGAACATTTTATGTAACTAAACCACAATTTCAGCAGAAAATTCTTTTGATCTCATTTTTTTTTTTTTTTTTTTTTTTTTTTTTTTTTAAATAATAAGTAAGCTTTAAGGATCAATTCTCTAACTAATGCACGGCCAGGCTGCCTAAGAAATTTTACTCGTATGAACGCCGTAAATATTGGTAGCACATTTTCTATTATTTACAGCTTGAGAAATTTAATTGCAGTTAAATTTCTTAAGCTGTAAATAATAGAAAATTTATAAAAGCTCTAAATAATAAAAAATAGTCATTATTTTAAAATATAGACTTTTGGATAAAATGTTAAGCATTATTGTAAATTATTTATTGTTATTAGACTGAATATATGAACGTTCAAAAAAGACATAAACATGTACAATGCAGTAAGAACGTCTGTTGTGATATGTAGGTTTAAAAATAAGTTATGTGCATGTGCATGCCTAATAAGTTACCAAGGTATTTTATCTTTCAAAAAATGTTCGTTGCTTTTATAAAAAAAAAAAAACGCTTTACGATTAATTTAAATACAGAACAAGTAACGAGATATAGACCAAGTCTGTATTTCATTTATATTTATATTCAATTTATAATTTGTATATTAAATCAGTTTTCTTCTCTTCTAGGAAATCAGATGTTCTCAGAACAAAGTTTGTGTAACAAAAGTAGAATTACTTTGGTTATATTGTATACTGAAGCAAATATTACATAAGAAAAAAAAAACATATATATAATGCTATAAATTTAAATTCATTTAAAGAGTATAAAACATAACTGACAAAATTTTAACATGAATTACTATAAGATGGCGAGTCAAATGAAAGTGAGCCAATGCGAATATATGACAAACAGAGTACTTTATTTAAAGGTAGTCTCCATGAATTACTATAAGATGGCGAGTCAAATGAAAGTGAGCCAATGCGAATATATGACAAACAGAGTACTTTATTTAAAGGTAGTCTCCATGAATATTGAGACATTTATACCATTGACAAATGAGCCGCGTGATACCCGTCTCATAAAACTCCTTGGGCTGTCGATTCAAAAAGTCTGTAACCGACTCCTTCACGGCGTCGTCCGACACGAATCTGGTACTCTTGAGATGTCTTTTCAGTTTCCCGAAAATGTGAAAGTCGCATGGCGACAAATCTAGGCTGTATGGAGGATGTTGCAGCGTGTCCCACTTGAACTTTGCCAGTTGTGTCTTAACCACATCAGCTACGTGGGGACGAGCATTGTCGTGTAGCAAGATCACACCATTCGTCAACTACACACATGCCATATTTCTTCAACCATTTTGACAACAACCCGTTGGATGTAAATATGAATTAGGTCAAAAAAGCTAACGATAAACTGAAAGCAATTTGTGCAAGCTTAGCCATGGCTTTTATTATTTTAAGAATTTGAAAGGTAACATTTAAAACGTTATGGTTTTGTTACACTTGAATTTTTATTTCTAGTTTTAAGTACAAAATGTTAAAAACGAATTTTTACCTAAGTAATAAAAATTATTAAATTAGCATTAATAAAAGAATCGCCTAAGGAAATAAATTATATCTCACATAAAAAATGTCACTCGTCCTCCACTAATCATAATTTATGTTCTTTAGTCTTGTGTGGCTGCACATTGTCTTGTCAAAGCAGGCAAAACTCATCAGAATGAACGTGTGTAACTCATCAGAAAGGATGCGTACATAACGGTCACTCTCTGAGACGTTTGTAAAAATATCAGGAGTCTCAATATCAGATAAACAGAATCCATCCATTATCATGGGCTCTAGACTATAATCTCCTAATAACATAAGTTATTTTTTCCACACGCAATCCTTTACTTCTGCAAACAACCAAACCATTCCACTGATCAACGAAGACTCTAGTGGTGGTATTTCTGAGATTAGGTGAGCTGCATAGCTGTGTCGTGCAGTCATCATAGGTACTATGGTTGCATATCGGGCCCTAAAGGCCTTATAACAAAAACAATATGCAAGCTGTTTATAAAGTTCCCAGCATTCAATTCCAATGATTCTTGAAGTAGCACTAAGATCTTTTCGTGTGAAATGATTCTTGTCAGTTGATGATGGTTGTGTTCATTCACAGTCTTCTAACGGCTGCACAATTGACGTTGAAAGATTTGCCAGAATTCTTAATAGTTATGGTACACACTTGAAATAGTTTCATGTAAAAATTTATACTTTGCCTCTATTTCCGAAATGCATGATCTATCTCACAAGCTCCAAGAATTGGCTATCAAAGCTTCCTCATATGTCTGTTACTTCATGTATTTATTGTTGAATGCAACAAGGGACATGTATAAGTAGCCTCATTATACATGGTCTTATCTGTTATAGAATTTTGCACTTCAGTGAAGAGCGATGATAAATATGAAACATGATAAATATGTGATGAAAAGTGCTACTCCCTAAAACGGTGCAAAAATATTTCAATAAAATGTGTTTAGTTTTCTTTATTTAAAGCCCATATTATTTCATACTACGTCTACAAAAAGGAATTACATTTTTTAAAAGGTAGTTGCACCTTAAAATTCTTTCTTTACTCATAGTTGCAGCTTCTCATAAACTGATCAAATATCTATTCATGCATACAATTCCATAATTACACACATTCTACACGGATTAATTTGGAAAAATTTGAAAATAAAAGTATTCTATGACATGAAGAGAATGAGAATGGTGAATGCTCAGGATATTAGTGTTCTGTTAACTTTCGATAAAGTACAACTGAAGTATACTGTACTTTTTAATATGAAAACACTAAAACAATTGCACTTCATGATATTGAAACAAAATTTTATATGTTTTAGTATAACAGTTAGAAATATCACTCAAGTATGAAACATTGCTTAATGCCTTCATATACACAGAGATATTATAAAATGCTTTATTTACGGTTTCAAAAGTTTAAACAGGTTACTGAATATCATAAGTGATATTACATGTAATCTGTTAGTCAAAATAAAATGTCTGTACACATTAAATCACTTAAACGTGTGAATTCAGATCAGGAAGAATTAATGCGGGTCATTCTTTTAATGCATTAAGTAATATGTTTTTACTGAAAAGGAAAAAAAGGTGATAAATGTTAAAATCTTTAATAAAAAATTATATAAAAAATAAATACATAAAATCATGTACACAAAGTCGCAAATACCAATATTTCACAATATGTACAAAATAAAGATCATTTTTATATTTGCTAAATACAGACTTTTTCAGATGAAGGAACACTGCTGATCTATATACTTCTGTAAATTTCAGGAACTGCAGTACTCAAAATAAGAAGAGTTAAAATAATTATAGTCACTTCAATGCAGGTGATTCCAATTATTTTTCTCTCAGCTTCTTTTACATTACATATAGTGACAAACGAACTATGGAAAAAAGTTAAATACTGTTCACATACACATAATTTCAACAAATTCAGCACTCTATTTGGATGAATCTAAATGCACAGGTTTTGCTTTTATGAAGCTTTGGGGACACACAAAAAGCATTCAGGGGTATATTTTAAATAAACCATTTTAGTAATAATTAACACAGACATTGATCCATATATCACCTAAGACATGCAGTGCTGTATCTGGTAGTGAAAATATGATCTTAAGAAAAGTAACTGCAATGCCTATCAGTGTCATTTTACCTTTAAGACAAAGATTCTCACTACTGTCACTTTGGGTTCTATTTAAACGTTGAAAAACTTACAATGTAGTATTTTAACTCCCACCCCGAACAATTTGAGAATGCTGTTTATCATCAAGCAGCTAATTTTCAAATATCTGACTCCCTTTCCATTTAGAAGAGCTTCCACTTTAACTTTTCATAAATTATGTACTCATAGATGCTCAGACATAAAAAATATTTAGTTTTAATAGTTTTTTCCCTCATTTTAAAACTTGAACCAACTAATGAAAGCCTTTTTTAAACCTTTCCATGAAAAAAAAAAAGTTTTTTTTTAACTCAATTACTTTGGTCTTTCGCTATTCAAAATTCCGTTTAATTCCAAAACAGACAATACATTCACTCAGTTTAAAATCATAATCCTACAGCGAAAATAAAAACAGAAATAGCTCATAATATTCTGAGTCGCCTGTGGTACTGTTCATGCTTTGCTGCACAGTTGCTTTATGTTGAATATATTATCAATTTATACTTGAGTTTAACAATTTACGAATTTCAGCATCTAACATAGCTAATCAAAAAAATTTAAAATTTTAATCTGCTTATTAAATTCTAATGTTAATACAGAAATACTAAAGCAGTCAAAAGGATGACATACGAATTTTGTTTTCCATAATGCTTCATAAAAATAAAAACAAACAGCAACAATGCGTGAATTTTTTAATTCCAAATAATATTTAATTTGTAATAAAAAATTACCAGATTCTATTTATGTTCACAGTTACAGAGGTATTATACACATTTAATAGAAAATGCAATGCCATTACAGGGAAACAGTTAAAGAGGTGGCTATTAAATTTGCAATGCTGCCATCATATTTGGATGTTTTAACTTTATTTAAGATTTGGTTTTAAGTATATAGTATAGTTTTAAGATGCTTGACTAAATGTCAGTGGATAAAACACAGCCTAAAATAATGATTTAATTTATTTTTTGGTGAGGTGGGGGCTTAATTTAAGCAAACAATTGCATCAAAGATAAAAAGTGAGTTTGGGATTTTCAATTCGAAACTTTCAAAATAAACTTTAACGCTATATGCATAATTTTAATTGATAATTATCATATTTATTGGAAATGATTTTTTTCTGTTTATATTTGATTTGCTTCATAATGCTATATGCATAATTTTTGATTGATAATAAAGGAAATTTATGTTTCAGAAAATGACAATGGATATTTTTAGGCAAATGTTTGTAAGAAGCATGCTTATGATGAAAATGCATCTACTAAAGAATTAATATGCAAAAATAAATCTATTAAATTTCTCCTACTGCAATAGATACTGATATTCAGAAACGTATTGTTTCATCTGTGCACTTTCAAGCATTTTAAAATTTGAATCTGTGTTTAACATTAGGATTCTACATATAGCCACTGTTTTCATTTGTGTTAGAGGTCTTCAAACTGCCTTCATCAAGCAGTCTTTTCTACTTAAAATGGGAATATCAGCAGAAATAAGTATGGTTTGTAGACAGCATAACTATAAAGAGATATCTTCTCTTAAGTATATAAATTTGAATAGAAGGATAATATTATACAGTACAGAAAAGCAAGGAAGTGTAGACAGTGTGTTTAAAATTTGTACAGCAATATTTAGTGGTAACATTTAACATCAAAAAAACAAATTTTCTTTCAAAGAAATTTTAAAATATGCTATGATAAATGATCTAAATTTTTTGCTGTACAGAAAACTTTATGAAGAATGCCACATGTAACTGTTACTTATTTATGCACAGAAAAAAAATTGTTACATATGGGAGATAATGGAAAAATGTTCATTTCATGACTATAAAACTGTAAAAAGATTTTCGGAAGTATCTTTATATGCACGTTCAAAAACATACAGCAGATTACAATTTTCAAGATAAAATGTGTCACCTCTAGCTTATTATCAGAAGTTTATGAAATAATTATTATTATAAGAAATACTGTGGTAAAGGCATCCAATATAACAATGCATTTGTTGCTTGTACCAAAAATTTAAAGAAATGTTGCATTGCATAGGTATGCAGAGTAATGAAACCTTTTGAATGTAACAATTTCTACTGATAACCACACACACACACATACCAAAAAAAAAAAAAAAAAAGTATTTTAGGTTGTTTTTCTTGACAAAAGCTGACAAAAAAAAGATTAATCACCAGTTTGTAGACAAAAGCTTGAGAAAACTGTTGTGTATTGCTCACTGCATACATATTAACACACATTTTGCATATATAAAAAGAGAATTGACATAAATTCAGTATTTTCATTTTCTCATCATGTATGAAAATAACAAAAAACACATTTTAAAATATAAGAGCTTGAAATAACAAAATGCCAACAACATATTTAAATGCATTTACATATAAATTTAAGTAGTTTCAAACATATAAAAATTTTTAAGGTTTTTTCCTTAAAATTATTGAAAGTAACACAATGTTTGTTTAGATGCCTAAAGCAGAACCGGTGATAAATGCTATTTTACACAATTCTAACAATGACAATATCCTCCTCAGATATTAAAAAGTTAAAATTATATTGAATTCCCATACACACAAAAAAAATTATTGAATTAACTTATATGACATAAATTACATTGAACCTATGAAAGCATTAACTAGTAAAGCGTATACCAGGATTAAAACAATAAAACAAACAAAGTATAAGCATTACAAATAACATATCAAGTTTAAAAATAACCGAAGTTGTCTTTTACAAATAAAATTTTAATTTCATCAATTCTTGAAATAAAAATCAAAATATATTATATTTATTTTCATTACCTTTGAAAAAATTTTGAAGAAATGTGATGTTAGTGGCAAATGCTAGTACACTCACTGGTAGATAATATGCAGGTGATTCAAGATGGGGCAGATCCTAATCTTTCTCAAACCTAAATCTCAAAATGCTCTGAAATTTTTTATACCTTTCATTTAAGAATAGTAAAAAGGGAAAATGTTTTATTGAATATAAAAATTTTTCTTATCAAAGCGAAATTTCAATTCTGTGTTTAATGAAAAACAAGTTCGAAATTACAATTTTTAATAGCATGTTTATATTTATTGAAAAGATTCAAATGACATTTGGTAAATAAATACAAAATTAAAACTCTTGAATCTTTAGATTCATTTACTCAATATAATTTGACAAAAAATATTTGAGCAACAGCTAAATTTAAAAATTTAAAGCAAATGTAGGGAAGGCAGAATTATTTCTAGAATTAATATATGTACACATTATACATGAAATGCTACATTCTCTCCCACAAGGCTGGGCGCAACTCAATGCTACTATGATGTGAGCGATCAATGTAAATTGAAATTGCAACAATCACCATCTTTTTCACTAGTGCATAAGAGATAATTAAAATTTATTTTTCAAAAGGTTCAAGTTAAAATATTTAATGTTTTTTTTAAGCTGGGATTTGAATTGTGAAAGCACAAAGATTAAAGTTTTCATGTCAAATTTCTCATAAAATTCATGGGATTTGAAGACTCAAATGTCCCATCTCTACAAATGATGAGTACACTCTAAAAGTAACTTGACAATTTCCCATAACATTTGACTCTAGCAGCCAGTGCAGATCACACCAAATGCTTAAATATTTAAATCAAGATAAAATTTATTATTATCATGGAAACAAACTTTTGCTTTTAAAAATAATCCACTTTAATAAATTACAATAATAATTTACAATAAATAATACAATTTTCTTTAATGGTAACATGCTCACCATTAAACAGCCAACTTACACTTGATGTATCCACCCTACCAGCTTTTGCACTACAAAATAGAACCAATTCCCTAGATGAATGACTGAAATCACAAGTAAATGTTTGACATTAAAACATGCCTTTTATCTCTACTTCTAGCACTAAATAAAGTGCAGCCAGCCAACAGAATAGTGGTTAGTACTCTGGCTGCCATACCGTAAGGACCATGTTCGAATTCCAGAGAAGGTATGGATCTTGTAAATGTACAGCCTCTAAATATATGGTGAGCTGAAAGGCCTCTCGTGTGGTTTGATAGTGCGAGAAGAGGGATGAGAGACCCTCAGAATGATCCCCCCTGGGGTGCTCAAGTGTCTTCTTGCCATAGTAAAGTTTGTGGCCTTGTGATGATTAAGTCAGACAAGTGAGATTAGTCACAACAACAACATTAAACAATGTATGCATTTTTTAAACATACAAAATTTAAAAGACACAGGCTCAGTGAAGCCTTACTAAACTATGATTCAAAGGCATTAAAACATGCATAGATTTGATCTAACAATTTGATATCCACAGTTTGTCAACTGCTTTGTAAGTCAGTCCCTATTTTACCCACATTAAATTTACTTATTTCTTAAATTGCATGGTCAATTACATAGAATCGTATGAGCTCCATCCCATGTTAAGAAATATCTGAACTCTGTAATACTGTAAAAAAGTTATTATTAAAAAATATTACATTATTCTGAAAACCATCTTGAAATGCCAGCTAGGTTTCATTTACAACCATTATCACATCTATCATTACAAAATTTTACAATAAATAATACCATTTTCAAATTTATGTACTTTACAGGCAAAACCCTCTATGAATAAACACAGATGAGAACTGAATGTCCTAAAAATCAAGTCCCCCCTAGAATTTTACTAATAGCACTACACCATAAATGAAAATAATCACTGAAACACATTTCACCTTCTTCTTCTGGGGTATACTCATACTCTACATGCAAAAATTCCTCATTCAGAAATCAAAATATGATTTTGATAGTCATTTGGAAAAAAAATATATATAACAGCTCTAAAATAGACTATTTCTCTGATACTATTATAAAAATCCACAGTATTAAAATATAACGGACGTAAGACTTGCATGGCACCATGAACATAAAAACTTGGAAAAATTCTTTGTTTATTTGGGTTTTCATTCATATTAAGAAACTTAATGTTATGTAAGATTAGAAGTAAGCAAAATCTTGCCAATTCTCTTAACAGCATATTTCCACTGCACTATCATTAAAAAGTAATTAATTGTTTAAATATATTAATATCTAACAACATCAAAAACTATTCAATAATAAATACTTAGCAGATGAAAAAGAAATTTAGGCATTTTCTACTAGGGATAGAATAGCAAGCAGATAAACATAAAAAATATGTAAATGTTTACTATTTTATGTCTTATAAATTAATAAATATATAACACTTAAACTTAAGTAAACACCCTGACAAGTAATAAACAAGTAAATACCCTGACAGCATTTTATAAGCAAACACAAAAACTGTTACCTAAGGCATGAAATATTATAACATTTAAATTCATTTAGCCATTTCAGAACTGAAAAATAAGAGACGTTATTATTTTACTTAGTTTAAAGCATATTAAGAACAAATACTACTTTATACCAGCATGGGTTAGTTTTATTTTTCTTTGGTCACTAAACAAATATATTATTAAGGCAGTTAAGTTTCACGTGGTTTGTAAAAACAGCACACATAGTTAAAATTAATTCACTCATGATGCATTTAAAACAGACACACAACAAAAGATGCTTAAACCAATAAAATTTTGCCTAGTTCTGGAGCACAAAGCACTGACAACACCATGTTCTACATATGCTTTGAATAAAATAAAGGGCAAATTCTAAAATTAAATCATAATAATTTTATCTGGGTAAATATTGCTTAAATTCTGAAATCTTGGCTTTATATAATATTTAAAAATATTTACTATGAAAATACCAAAGAACAAATGTATAAATTTGTTATAAATATTTACATCAGCTTTACTCAGCATTATTTTTAATTTCTTGCTTAAATTTTATTCTTTAAATTTTAGAAATAATACTTTCAAACAGTGACTAGTCATAAATCAATAAATAATTCTTCCAATTTATAATCATGTCCATAAATATGTACAGGAATTTTCAGTTATGTACTAAAAAATTAAAACAGCCAAGGGAAAGAAAACTCAAATTAGTAACAAACTTCCATGTTTAAAATTTGTATACTTCTGAATTCAGTAAAATTTTCTTTGAATTTGAGAGAACTGCAAGTAAAAAGTAGGGCAAAACATGAGAATTTTTTTTTGATAAAAAGGGACAATCTGTAGCCATTAAAAAAAAAATGCTGAAGCAGGTTTATGACTATATAAGAAGAGGCGTAGCCAAAATATATAAAACTGTTAAAAAACAAAATGGAGAATGAAAAACATGGGCAAATTGAGGTAAAAACCAAGGACAAATTTAAATAACTTCGAAATCCTTTTATCATTTACGTAATTCATTATTTTTTAATATTGCAAAGCTATCTACCATGGAGGAGGGATGCCTTCATGGAGGACTTTCTAAGGAAAGATGGCATGCATTCACAATACAGTTTGACCCCCCAGATACACGTTGTTAATAAATTGTATAATGAAGCTGTCTGCATTTGCCTAGTTGAAGATCTAGTAAGAATAAATCACACTGGAAACACCCCAAATTAGATTTTCATTGTTAAAATGGAAATAATGCAAATGATTCCTATTTTCAGAATTTAATGTGTCATTTGTTGTGTATTTTTAATTTTCCTACCCCAAAGAACAAGAAAAATTTTTTAAGTGGCCTACTACAAGAATTAAGTACACAGGGCATTTGTTATGCAATTTGAATTCCTTGCCTCAAAAAACAAACAAGATTTAGTAAGATTTAACAACTGATAAATTTATGTGACATTTACAAAAAAAAAAAAAAAATCATGACTAGCAGTAGATTGTAAAATTGGTTTAGGATATTTTAATCACTTCACAATGTTAATATCTGGGACGTTTAGAAACACCATTTCAATAACACAACTCTGAAGAATTTATTTAAAAATCATTAGCAAAAATTTACATTCCAAGTGTTGAAGTTTAATAACAGTGAAGTCACTGATTCACTGAGAAACATTTTCTCTGTTCTATGGATTTTAGAATCACTTCCATTATCATCTAAGTAAGCTAATTAACTTCTGCTAGTAAATTTGAATTAAAATAGGTGATTTAAAAAAATTAATTGGCCTTACTGAGAATAACACTTTTGAGAGGGAGAGAAAAACATAATGGAAACATATTTAACTTTTTCAAATCTAGTACAACAATTTCTGGAAATATAATGGAATTACTAGAAATTTTAAAAACCTTGACGACATGACAGAAAATCTGAAGCATAAAATTAATAAATAAAGAATATGTTAAAAGAGCTACTGCACCAAGCCCTACAGAAACACACCAATAAAAAATTCTTACTAATGATATTAAAGAATACACTAAAACAGCTATCCAGATATCACTTGACAGCCATGAATGAAATTCTGTAAATTATGCAGGAAGGCTAGTGTTCAGGATTAGCTGCATTCTCTGCGTTCTGATTTTTATTGAGTTTTGTCACCTCAGTGAGGGAATACTTTTATAAAAATACCCCCTCAAGACTAGAATCCCCTCATTATAACAGGACTTTGAAGGAATACTTAAATATATATATAAAACTAGCCACATGCTTCTTGCAACATATATAACCTACATTAAAATATTGTGTTTTTACAGCCATTTCAGATATGATCATATATCACAAAATTTAAAGTGTTTATTTTACTTTCATCCTAACAGCCAAAATTATACTTTTTACAATGTGAAATTTTGCATATTTGAAAATGGCACTAAGTATTATCCTATCAAGCGGGAAACTGTATCCAAGCACACAGATTTACTGCCAACTGTGGATAAATGTGCACACCTGCACTTTCGCTTGATGTGATAACCAACTGACTCTTGATAAGCCACCTTTAATTTTAATGAACCAGGATATAAATTAACTGCTATTGCTTCATTTTTTCTTATCGTTAAAACAAAATGAGTTAGACAGCTGCAGAATACCATGCATTCCAGTTCTGAAAGAATTAACACAGAATGAATTGGTATAAGAACAGCTTGATATGGCTGAAGAAACAGAAATAAATAGGAAAAACCACCTGCAGGAAGTTTACATTCATAATGTTCTCAACAGAGCCTTCAGTAAAATCAGAGGGCCTGATACAATAGTAGAAATCGATGAAACTTTTTTATGAAGCGCAAAAACAAATCGATCAAATTCTTTTGCAGCAGTGGCTATTTTGTGGTTTGTGAAGATACTGGCATATGTTTTATTCCCAGAGTTGCAGACAAAAGTGCTGTTCAGAAATGCATAGGAACGATTGGTGCAACTCTGGCAGAATTTTTGCCAGCTTACACGGTTCAATGGTAGCTAACTTTCATGGCTGAAGATACATAAGTATCCTAAAAATAAATGCTCGGACAATTTCATGATTACTGCACACCCTGAAATAACTATGCTGCTCACATAATAAATGATATACTCACAAATATACATTCATAGGCACATGCATTAGGCAACTCCAGACCATTTCAAGGAATTTAAAAGAAAAGGGGGGGGGAGTAAAGACATGAACTTGTATAACACACAAGAAGAAATATTTTTCAGCAAAAAATTATTGTAATTAAAATAATTTCATGATGGATGCAAACTAAATCTCTAATAACATTATAACACACTGCAGTAAAATAATTTAAATATTAATAGTGAATTTTGTGTCTATAACAAAGTGCAACCACATTTCTTACATATTACATAAAATATTAAAAATATCTGTATACTATGACAAAACTTGTAATATTCTTTACATACATTGATATAAAAAGCTTTCCTACACAAGATGCCAAAATAAACTTCCTCCTATAATAATTCATAATACTCTTTCTCAGTTTAAAACAGTGTGCCTCACTACAGATCAGATTTATTTGCTTTTTCCTATCTAAACTATTTTTATACAAATATCATTGTAGGTTCAAACCTCATAAATATTTTTATACAATAATTTCTTCAATCAGATAAAAATACTGCAAGTTCACGAAAAAAATGCATAAATTAGACGTATTGATAGTTGAGAAGTTGATCCCAATCTGTTGAAAGTTGAAATACTTCCCGTTTCAGCCACGTTTCATAATGATATTTGAAGTCATCAGTCAACTCAACTTCCCGCCCTAAGACACTTAAGACATTGTTGTCAACAGACTGAAAGTCTGGGTCATTACATAGTGATCCCGTTCGATCATACCTTCTGTTGTGGAAGCGATTTATGCTAGCTTGCAAAGCAAATTCCTCTGCTTGAAAGTCCCATGGTCTTGCATCCAAATCTTCAAAATTATTTAAAAAGTTACATGAATATCCATTTTAATAAACATCATAAATACAATCAAGAGTTTTTACTCTTTAACTTGCTCTAAAAAATAAAAATCAGGACTGTATAAATTTGAAGCAAGAGATTAGGTAACTAATCGAATGAATTATGGAATAACACTGAAAAAGTAATTAACACACACTTACCATTTCCATATGCCCAATCATCATTGAGCCTATGTCGAACTTTCTGATATATAGCTGACATAGTCTTCATGTTACTTTTGCGCCACTGTCTTCCAAGGTACTTAGTTTGCATTTTCAATAACTTCAGAACATAGAGCTGCATCATAGCATGTTTGACCTTTAATGCTCGCTTTAAAATAGGGGCTGATTTAAAAACAACAAGCATCTGAAATAATCAGAAACCAATTTTTAATGATTTTCACATATACAGCTATTTTATTTAAAAGCATTAGTTAATTATTTTGATCATCGAAATATTTGTTAAAGAACAGAAACTAATATTAACCTTCTGAGAGTTTATCTAATATTTCTACAAACAACATACTGTTGCATAATTGGTACATCCTATGGAGCTTGTATCTCATTCTCATGTGAATATGGCTGTTGTGACCCCTGAGACAAGTAAATCTGCTACTGCTCATTTGGAACTCCAGGTAGCTGAGCTGACTACGCTTTCAGCATTCACACCGGCACAGTAGGTCATACGAACATACTAACCATTATAAAGAGTGAAAAAACAAGCTTTGCTTTTATCATGTAAATTTTGGGGAATAGGCAAGGAAATGTCAGTCACCATGTTTTTTTCACCAAAATAAACAACCAGGTGAATCGTATACTCTTGGCCAACCCCTCTTCAGAAATAAAATATTTAATTGATACTGGTGCGGATGCATCAGTTTTACCAAAAAAGTATGCTCAATGCTCTAAGCCTTCACAGAATTTGGTTTTATTTGCCACCAATGGAACTAAAATTCCCACATTTGGCAATGGACTTACTTTGAGTTTAAACCTATATCGTAACTTTACTTGGTTATTGGATGTTGCAGATGTAAATCAGCAAATTATAAGAGTAGATTTCCTTAAGAAATATGGATCACTTGTTGATGTTGCTAATAATAACTGTCTTATCGATTCTACAACTAATCTGTCATCGTGTGGTAAATTGTTTAAAAATTCTTTTCATTCAGGCATATCTGTATTTGGCAATTCTAAATTTCACAGATTACTAGCTGAGTATCCTGAACTCACTCATCCTTCTTATTTAACCAAAAATAATCAGAGTTCAACAACTTTCCATTGTATTGAGAATAACATTACTCCCGTTTCTCTAAACCTCATTGTTTGTCATCAGATTTATTCCGAATGGCAAGACAAGAGTTTGATTTTCTTATGTCAGAAGGAATCATTCGGTCGTCCAAAAGCCTTAGGGCCAGCCCTCTTCAAATGGTCCATAAAGCTACTGGTGATTGGCACCCTTGTTGTTACTATCGCCAAATAAATACTGTGCCTATTCCTAACTGGTATCCTATACCACATATTCAAAATTATAGACAGATATTTTTTTTTTAAAAATATTTTCTCCACACTCAATTTGGCTACGGTGAACCATCAGATTCCTGTTAATCCAGAGGACATGCCTAAAACAGTTGTGATCACCCCATTTTGATTAGCTGAGTTTCTTAAAATGCCATTGGGTTTACAAAATGCAGGTCAAACATTCCAAAGATTTTTTCATCAAGTACTTTCCGGTACCTACATATGGTTTCAGTGGATGAAAAAGAGCCTGAAAACTATCTTTGTTTAATTTTGATAGACTGAAGAAATATGGGTTTAAACTAAGTCCTGATAAATGTGTTCTTGGAAAGTCATTGGTATCATTTCTTGGTTGTTTAATTACCCCTTGCAGTATTCTGCCTCTTCTGCCCTTGCAGTATTCTCTGAGAAAAAAACTGCAATAATTTCTAATTTCTCTAAAGCTGTAACAATGCCAAACTAATAACATTTTTGGCAATATTGAATTTTTAATGCCGATTTTTTCCTAAGGCCACAACCACCCAGGCACTGCTTCATTCTCCTTTGAAAAATTCTAAGGAAAATGATAATTGTCCCATTCTCTGGACAGTGGAAACAATTATGGCCTTTGAAAAATGTAAAATTGATCTGGAAGATGTAGTAATACTTGGTTACCATGCCCCCGGTCAGCGGTTGTCATTAATAGTTGATGCATCAAATGTGGCTATTGGAGCTGTTTTGCATTTGCTACATGATAAACATCTTTAGCCACTAACCTTTTTCCCCTGAAAACTCTACATGATCCACTATCCACTAACGATCTTCAGCCACTAACTTCCCCCCCTCCAAAAAACTAGCTCCAGCTGACACTAAGTACAGCAAATATAATAGTGAATTACTTGCTATCTATTGTGCTGTAAAGCTGTGACTATTCCTGATCGGTATCCTGTACCACATATTCAAGATTGTACACAGATATTTTTGAAAATATCATTTTCTCAACACTCGATTTGGCTAGGATGCACCATCAAATTCCTGTTAATCCAGACGATGTGCCTAAAACAGCAGCGACCATCCCATTTTTATTAGAGTTTAAAATGTTTTTAAAATGTCATTTGGCTTAAAAATGCAAGTCAGATTCCAAAGATTTATTCATCAAGTACTTTCTAGTTTAGATTTTTGTATTCCCTACTTTGATGACCTACGTTTGGCTTCAGTGGATGAAAAAGAGCAAGAAAACCAAATTTGTTTAATTTCTGATGGACTGAAAAAATATGGTTTAAAACTAAATCCTGCTATATAAGTTCTTGGAAAGTCATTGGTATAATTTCTTGGTTGTTTAATTACCCCTTCTTGTATTCGGCCTCATCCTGTGGGGGGGGGGAACTGCAACAATTTCTAACTTCTCTAAACCAGTAAAAATATTTGAACTAAAGATATTTTTCTCAATGTTGAACTTTTAATGCTGATTTTTGCCATAACTAACCATGCATTGCTTCATTCTCTTGAAAGTTTCTAAGAAAAATGGTAATTGTCCTATTCTCTGGACACTGCAAACAACGATGGCCTTTGAAAAATGTATAACTGATCCAGCAAATGTAGTGACAGTTACCATGCCCTTAGTTAGCAGTTGTCATTAACAGTTGACAACTCAAATGTGACTATTGGAGCTGTTTTGCATTTGCCACATGATAAACATCTTCAGCTACTAACGTTTCTTCCCTGAAAACTAACTCCAGCTGAAACTAAATATAGCACATATGATAGAGAATTACACGCTATCTATTGCACTGTAAAGCATTTTCAACATCATCTTGAGTGACAACATTTTACAACATACACAGATCATTACCCTCTAATATTTTTATTTAAAAAAAATTCAGATTCTGCATCCTCCAGGCAGATAAAACATATAAATTATATTGCCCAATTCAGTACTAATATACAACACATTCTTGAATAAGGAAATATCCTGGCAGATGCATTGTGATGAATTACTGCTATCAGTACGCTGGATATAACAAGTTTTGCAAAGATTGCTGAGTCTCAACAGAATGATTCTGAACTGAGTAAATTACTGTCCTCAAAAAGTAGTAGCTCATTAAAACTACAAAAATACAGCTTTCCCATGGTTTAAACATGTAGTGTGATGACAAGATCTGTCCTTTCATTCCTAACCAATTGCAAAAGGCAGTGTTTGATTCTCTTCATGGACTTCCTCATCCAGGCATATGATCAACAAAAAGACTCATTCTCTCTCATTTTGTGTGGCCTTCTGTGTCAAGGGATTGCATTGTTTGGATTCGTGCTTGCATCGACTGCCAGAGGTAAGAAGTCGTATGGCATGCTCACAGTCCATTGCAGTCTTTCCCCATACCCAGTCAGTATTTTGAACATGTGCATTTGGATAAGTCGGGTCCTTGCCACCTTTGGAAGGGCACTCCTACCTTTCACCCCTTACTGACTGTTTTTCCTGATGGCCGGAAGCAATACCCATGAAGGATATTTTGGCAGAAACTGCCGCTCAAATGTTTTTTATCCATTGAACTGCAAGGTTTAGAGTTTCTGCTACCATAAGTACTGATCAAGGACAAAAATTCGGGTCACAGATGTTCACTATTCTCAGTAAAATTCTTGGTGTTTACTGAATTCGGATTTATCTATATCACCCTGCAGCTGATGGATTAATTGAGAGATCCTATCATTAACTAAAACAATATGTGCCATAATAATGTCCCCCGATGCACAATGAACCTTCCAATTGTACTCCTCAGTCTTTGAGCAGCATACTAACAAGAACTGGGAGGAACTTGTTTGGAAATGCTTTATGGAATGACTATTCATTTCACTGCAGAATTTTTGGAATCCCCTCAAGTTTCTAATTCTTCTGATCCAATTTCATTATTACAGAAGTTATGTGAGGCAATGAGAGAGACAGGACTCGTACCTACATCAGCCCATGCTAACAATAAGTATTTCATGCACCCAACTTTAGAATCGTGTACTCACGTGTTTGTGAGACATGATGCAATAAGATCACCCCTAACTTGCCATTCAAAGAAATAAAAAGAACTAATACAAATTTTACCCTTCTTATTAAAGGAAAAGAATCTGTGATCAGCACTGATGGCTTGAAACCAGCAGTTTTCTTTTTTAGTTTCAGATACTGCAGCATCAGTTCCTATTCTTGAGCAGACTCCTACAGTAAAACCGAATGGCACTAGACCTTCAGGGCGGGCTACTTGTACTGGCAGAAGAGTCAAGTCTCTCTGACCCCTCCAGTCTTTAACACGTGTGTGGGTAGGGAGCACTGTGCAGAGTACTTGCATTCTGATGAGAATATCTGCATTTTTGACATTTGTATGCAGGATCTATGTTCACTGCACTGCACCCATGTGCACTCACTATAGTGTGAGTATAAAGACTTGAGCTTTTCACCAAGACAGTCTCTTGCATTCATACTTTACTGTTCCTGCTTGTTCGCGATCGACATCTGGCATTGGCTTATCACCATGTATTAATTTACAAGTCAAACAATAGAAATCAGCATTATATTTGCAAATTTTCACAGGCCTAGTTTTGATGATGATGGTTTGGTAAAACCATCGAAACTAGTCCTGTGAAAACTTGCAAATACAATGCTGACTTTTGTTGTTTGCCTTCTAAATTAATACTTGTTCAGCATATTATTTTGTCTTAATTATCAATATGTATTTAGTTTCGTATTTTAATTTTAAATAAAGTTAATTTTATGTTCTACCAAAGTCGACTACGAACCTTCTGACAAGCTTCGAGTCTGGCGGCATAAACCATTGCCACATGCTCACGAGTTGAATAAAAGAAAATATAATTGTAACAAAATATATGACATGG